AAGTACTCTAAGATGACCTTACAGTCTTACCAAAGTGTACAGTAAAAGAGGATTTAATCAGGACGTGCACATCTCCCTCTATAATAATCTTTTATTGTCAAAGAGGTTTAACAATACTTCTTAAATCTAATAAACAAAAATCCTAAAATATAGGAAAAAGTTTTAATTAGGTCCCATTTTAAAATAGATTCATTAAACTTCCTTTGTTCTTTACAGACTGACTGCTGTGTAATATCTAAACTGGTAGAATAAAAATAATGAATCTTGCAGTGTTCAAAATTACAGCCATGGAAAAGTTTAGAATTTTTTTTTTTAAATAAAAATAAATAAATAACAATGTGTGGTCAAGTTTGTTACAAAAATATGCATTTATTTGTATTTACATTTCAAATTTTAAAAACAATTCACATAAAGTGAATTAAAGGAAGAAGATTAATAAAACGGTAAACAATTACAAAATTTTAAAGAAGAATGGCAAAAGGGATAGCCTATCAGTTAAATATCTTTAAGAGCTGGTAAAGTGCTTTTTGGATTTTTTTTAAAGAAAACAAATCTCACAGCAATAGATAAGGACTTTTCAGTCAGACTAAAATACTTTTTTTTTTTTTTGAATTATTTTATCTTCATTGCTCAAATAATGAAATAAACTAATTTTAACATTGTATTTACATTTCTTACTACTTGGCTAAACTAGCAAAAGTTTTAAAAAGTATAATTTGCAATAACAGGAATGTTCTTCTCAGTTTGTTTGATATAAGAGATTCAAAAGTCTTTTTTTGGCCTTTGGACTGATTGAGTGAGACCCATTCATTGGACCGATTGAGTGATTCATTAAAAATAATAATAATAGTAATATCAAGATTGATGAATTTTTCTATATCTAACCTTTCTATATTATTTTTTATTATTACTAAAAACTTATTTATTAAAAAAAATAATTTAAATTAAAAAATAACTAGAAAACAAGTTAATATACACTTTAACACTTTATGTTTTATGTTTTTTATGTTTTTTTATACTTTTTATATTTTTTTATTTATGTTTGTGTTCTGTCTGAACCTCTGGCGTGGTGTTCGCTCACCCGTAAGTTACTTTATGTTTTTTATGTATGTTTGTGTTCTGTCTGAACCTCTGGCATGGTGTTGACTCACGCGTAAGTTGATTTATGTTTGTTTGAGTTCTTTTTATTCTCTGATGCAGCGTGAGCTAAGTAACTAACTACTTACTCTAACTACAAAACCTACACTCACCTTAGACTCCTGTATTTTGTTAGATGCAGTGTTTTTCCTAACGCACTTCCAAAAGGTCATGACTGGTTTTCTCAAAGTACTGTTGGGGAAGCAAATCCGTTAACAACTCCAGGTCAGGTCAGGATAATCAAGATCAATCTTGCTACTGGTATCACGTAACCCAGTACCACCTGCCACAAGCCCTGCTGCCTTGCAGAGTGTGCTCTTCTTAAGCAAAGGCTAGGAGAAATAAACTCCGACTAAAAATTCCCCTGCCTTGGGGCTCTTGGTTGAGTAAAGGCTTGAGATGGTGTCTCGATAAAAACACTCATCTTGGGCAGATGTTAACTGCATCCAGCTAAACATCCCCTGCCTTGGGGCTCTTGGTTGAGTAAAGGCTAGAGATGGTGTCTCGATAAAAAAACTCATCTTGGGCAGATATTAACTGCATCCAGCTACTGTCTTGTAGAAGGCCTCCTAGGCAAAGACTTTAGGGGTACTCAGAAAAATTCTGCTAATCAGCCTCGAACCCCTTCTTCATCTATAAGGCTGGCGTAGATGTAACCTGTGTTACATTGTTTCCTGCCTAGGATCATGAATGCTGGATCTCCTTGACTCAACTTATAGAATTTTGCTTATGCCTCCTTGAAAATGGCTATGCAACTCTTCCTGTTATCTCCATATGAGGGTGCAGCTCTAAAACTCAGTTAATGGTTCTTTGGCCGGCTGGTAGTATGGTTTCCCGAACTCTGTGGTAGCTCTCAGAGAGGCTGATTCCATCAACAGCTGCAAAATATCAGATTATTAACAGTACCATGTTGCATATGGAAGGTGTCCCTGTTAATGCTTTTGGTGTGCATCGTCAAGGTCACATAAGGAGCCCTATTTCACGGCTAAGGGTTAATTAACAGGACTGAGACAACTGCATAGCTCATTGATTAGGAGGCTGTGCTCTATCTATGAATAAGTCAAGTTCTCATTAAACCCAAATCATGACCAAAGAAACCAAAAATTTTAAACCTAAAAAACTTTTATGTGCTTTAGCCTAGCAGCTTTTCACTCTATCATCTTTCTCTTTGTTCTTTATTGTTCTCCTTCTTCCCATGATTGCACTCTTTTAGATGTTATCTCTAATCAAATTGACCATGCCCTCTCTCTTTACCCCTCTGCCAATATTGTTTTTGTGGGTGATTTTAATGCCCATCACACTGAATGGCTTGGCAATAACAGCACTGATCCTGCTGGCACTAAAGCCTTTAACTTCTGCGTTTCTCAATCTCTTACTCAGATAGTTAACTTTGTGACTCGTTTTCCTGACAACCCTAATCATTTACCTTCACTCCTTGACTTATGTCTTGTCTCTGAGCCTAGCTTATGTTCAGTTTCTCCCTTTTCTCCCTTAGGTGGTTATGACCATGCAATGATCTTTATAAATCTTTGTTCTCGTACTTCTTTTTTGGGCTCACCTTATCATCGCACCACCTACTACTACCCTAAAGCTGACTGGGATTCCTTTCGTGATTTTCTTCGTGATGGTCCTTGGGCTGATGATTTTTCTCTCTCAGCTGACAAATGCACCTTCTACGTAACCTCCTGGATTCAGGCTGGAATGGAAGCTTTTATTCCTTCTCGTCGGTTTCAAGTCAAGCCTCATTCTACTCCATGGTTTTCTCCTTCTTGTGCGGCTGCTATATCCAATCGTAACCATTTTTTTCATCTTTTTCAAAAGAACAACTCTCTTGAGAACAAACGACTATTTATTATTGCAAGAAATCGAAATAAAAAAGTGCTTTCTGATGCTAAACTCTATTATTCTCAGTTCACTAAATCTCGCATCTTATCGCAGAAGTTAGGCTCTAAAGACTTTTGGAAAATCTTTAACAGCATTATTAACAAGGGTAGATCTAACATTTCATCTCTCATTCATGGGACTGATCTTTTACCTCTCCCAAGGATAAGGCAGAACTGTTTGCAAAGAACTTTTCTTTTAATTCCACTCTTGAATCTTATGGACATTCTCTTTCTTCCATTCCAGTCAAACAGGTTGATCCATTGTTAGACATTCAAATCACTCCGGCTTCTGTTGCTAAAGTCATATCTCAATTAAACTTGTCTACAGCTTGTGGTCCAGACAACATTCCTGTCACAGTCTTGCAGAATTGTTTTCCAGAACTTTCTTCAATTCTCTCTAAACTATTTAACAAGTGTTTGAATGAGTCTTGTTTTCCTGCTTGTTGGAAAATGGCATCTGTTTTTCCAATATTCAAAAACTCTGGAGAAAATTCTGACCCCTCCAATTATCGTCCGATCAGTCTTCTTTCTGTTATTAGCAAGGTCTTTGAGTCTTTGATCAACGAATTCCTCACATCTCATCTTGAGTCAAATAAACTACTGTCAGACAATCAATACGGTTTTCGATCCTCTCGCTCTACGGCCGACTTGCTAACTGCTGTAACTGAAAGATTTTATCGTGCATTAGATGGAGGCGGTGAGGCTAGGGCTTTTGCTCTCAACGTATCTAAAGTTTTCGATAAAGTTTGGCATGCTGGTCTTCTCCATAAGCTTGCTTCATATGGTGTTTCTGGGAATGTTTTTGAGATTATCAAATCATTTCTTTCTAACCGGTTTATTAAAGTCTTTCTTGAAGGCCAACACTCTTCTTTGTTACCAGTAACTTCTGGGGCTCCCCAAGGTTCCATCCTGGGCCCTGTTTTGTTTCTTATCTACATAAACGATCTTCCTGATAACCTTTCATCTAAAGTAGCTCTTTTTGCTGATGACTCAACTTTATACTCCTGTCTTGACAAAAAGTCTTCTCTTTTCGATTGTCTAGAACAAGCAGCTGATCTTGAATCTGATCTCACTTCAGTAATAGATTGGGGTTCACAGCGGCTTGTGAATTTCAACTCTAACAAAACCCAGTTGTTTACTGCAAACAACTACCGTAATATGGTCAACATTCCTATATTAATGAATGGCAATCCTCTTACTGAGTCCTCCTCTTTACATCTTCTTGGATTATCGCTTACTACTGACCTTTCATGGAAACCATATATACAATCGGTTGCTAAATTAGCATCTGCTAAGGTTGCTTCTCTTTATCGTGCTCGCTATTTCCTTACTTCTGATTCCATTCTCTACCTCTACAAATCTCTTATTCGTCCCTGTATGGAATACTGTTGTCATATTTGGGCTGGTTCTTCTAACGATTCACTTTATCTTCTTGACAAGGTCCAAAAACGCATTTTAAATGTTGTTGGACCTAGACTATCTGCTAAGCTTGAACCTCTTTCCCATCGTCGTAAAGTTGCATCTCTTTCTCTTTTCTACAAATACTATCATGGTCACTGCTGAAAGGAGTTATCATCTCTTGTTCCATCAACTAAAATTCATTCTCGTTTTACTCGTCATTCAGCTAAGTCTCATTCGTTTACTGTATCTGTCTCTGCATGCTCTAAAAACTTTTATTCATCTAGTTTTTTCCCCCGCACTTTAATCCTTTGGAACTCTCTCCCATCTTCATGTTTTCCTGACTCATACAACCTTCAACTTTTCAAGTCTTCTGTCAACCGTTTCCTTGCCCTATAACTCTGTTCTTTTTTTCTTAGTAAGTCCCAATTTAATAGTGGTTGCTTGCAGCCTTGTTGGGCGTAAATGCAAATTAAAAAAATAAAAAACACACACATATAAACACTAAAGATATTGTTGAATACTTTAATTTAAAAAATTTGTACCATTGTTATGTATGTTAAAATTAATTCATAAACTTACACCAGCCAACAACAAAGTAGACACACATGTAAGACTTGGTAATAAAAAAAACAAAGAAAAACTGTCGAAACTGAAAAAAGCCTTCATTAAACATCCACAAAAGTTCTGCCAAAGTAAAATACTGCAAAAACATAAAGGTATAACTGCAACTCTTCTAAATAAAAAAAAAATTAATTCATTTACATAAAATTGTTAAAATGTTTAAAAAAGTAATGAACTCATATTAAACAACAAAATGTTTAAAAAAGTAATGAACTAATATTAAAGAATAAAAACACTTCAAAATAAACTCAATTTCAACTCAAACTTTTTTTATATTTTTTATGTAATAATAAATACATAGTTAAAGGTAGTTATAATGGAAACAGTATCCAATTACAAGATATGTTTTAATAATTTTTCAATCAACTTTTTAAAATATAATTACTGCTTTAAATGACAAATTTTAGAATTAATTGTAAAAAAAATACTTTATTTTCATGTGCATTTTTCAAGATAAAACATTTTTAAAAAAGTTCTTCAATATAATACTTTTTTTTTTTATAAAAAATTATCTTAATAACATAAACAACAGCTAAACTTTTAAAGTTATGCCAAAACAAAAATAACTTAGAGTTATAATAGATCAGTTCAGGATTCCAATCATCATAATCATCCTGCTACTGGTAACATATGTTCCCTCAAGTACCTCCCTAGAGTTCTACTGCTTTGTAGGAACTGCCTTTCTAGGTAAAAGCTTGGAAAAGTTAACTCTGAATTAAAATAATTGGTAACAAGGATGATAAATGATAAGCTGAAGGTGAACTGATGATGAATTAATAATATCTAAAAATAAACTAATGATGAATGAATTGACAAGCTGATGATGAATTGATGGTGAACAAATTGATGAGCTGACGACGAACTAATAATAAATGCGGTAGTGGTGTAGTGGTAGAGCGCTTGCTTCATAAGCGAGAGGTTCCGAGTTTGATCCTCACCACGTCCCTGGTAGTACCGCGCTCAACTTTTTTCTCCGCGCAGCGGCCTTGTTCATCAAGGTTCGTGTTTCGGAGTTATAGAGTTGAGAGAGGGTTATAACCACAATTAAGTAGCCTCCTTGTCTGTAGTGGCCTTCTCGGCCTTGGGGAGGTGAAATAACAAAACAAAAACAAAAAACAAAACAAAAATGAATTGACAAGCTAATGATAAATTAAAAATGAATGAACTGATAAGCTAAAGATGAACTGATGATTAATAAATTAATGAGTTGAAGATGAACTGATATTAAATGAGTTGATAAGCTGAAGATAAACTGATGATAAATGAATTGATGATAAATGAATTGATGATAAATGAATTGATGAGCTGAGGATAAACTGATGATGAATAAATTGAAGGGCTGAAGATGAATTAATGATAAATCAATTAATAAGTTGAAGATAAATTGATGCTAAATGAATTGATGAGTTGAAGATAAAATGATGATGAATGAATTGATGAGCTGAAGATGAATTGATAATAAACTAGGGAGCTGAAGTTGAACTGATGATAAATAAACTTATTGGCAGAAGGCGAAATGATAATGAATGAATAGATGAACTGATGATGAATGTATTGATGATTAATGAATTGATGAGTTGAAGATAATCTGATGATGAATGAACTGATGAGCTGATGAATTAAAATTAGCTAAAGTTTCACCAATATTTAAAGGAGGAGACTTAATGTTAGTAATTACCATTCAAAATCTGTTCTCTCTGTTTTCTCAAAAATTATAGAGAGATTTCTTTATACTAAAATTTTTAACCATTTTTCCCAAAGTAATATTTTATACAAAAATCAATATGGATTCAAAAAAAAAAAATTCCACTTAACACACTACTCCAAATAACAGAATATATTACTAAATCATTCTAAATTTACTTTGAACATTTTTATTGATTTGTCTAAAGCCTTCGATACAATTGATTATAATATTCTATTCAAAAAATTTAAATATTATGGAATCTCTGGCGATGTTTGGAAGCTTTTAAAAAGTTATTTAAGCAATAGAAAGTAATTTGTTCTCTATGACATATCGTCGAAATCAAAATTGTTAGATTTAACATGAAGATGGTTTAAATTAAATAAGCTTTCTCTTAACATTGCAAAAACAAAATGGCCTCTTTTTCATCCATACTACAAAAATCATCTTCTACCAAGTGAATTACCTGCTCTTTGTAAAAATAGCATGCAAATTAAAAGAGTAACGGCTACAAATTATTTAGGGGTTTTTATTGATGAAAATTTGACATGGAAAAAACACATCGAAAACTTATCCTAAAAATTTCTAAAAGTATAGGAATACTATTCAAAATAAAAAGCATTCTAAAGAAACATAATTTAATTCAGCTATACTACTCTTTTATTCATTGCCATCTAAATTATGCTAATGCAGCTTAGGGTAGCGTTAGCAAAACTAAATTAGAACCACTTTATCGCCAACAGAAACATGTTGCATAACTTATTAATTTTAAACATTGCTTTTATTATGCTAAGCCTCTTTTAAACAAAATGAATACTCTTAATATATATCGACTTAAGACTCTGTGTGTGCGTGTGTGTGTTTGTGTGTGTGTGCGTGCGTGCGTGTGTGTACGTGTGTGTGTGTGTGATTGTATATATATTTATATGTTTTTATGTTTAAATATGTGTAAATACTTATATTTGTATTTATGTGTGAATATTTATATATGAATTATTAAAGGATTATTTTTTATTTAAAATCTAATTAGGCGGTTCTCGATGACAAGATCTTATGATCTTCTGTGAGTATCCGCATTCTTATTGTAATGCTAACAAAATTTGTAATTCTTACTATATGTATTTTATATATTTTATTCATTCCTATATTATAAAACTAAATTTTGAGTAAATAAAAAGAACTCATTGATGGTGAATGAATTTATGAACTAAAAATGAATAACTGATGATAAGTTAATTGATGAGCTGATGATGAATGAATTGATATGCTGAAGATGAACTGATGATGAATGAATTGATATGCTGAAGATGAACTGATGATGAAAGAGTTGATGAGCTGATGAATAACTGATGGTGAATGATTCAATGCATTTGGTGTGCATGTTCAAAACTATGTAAATAACTATTTGTCACAGCTTTAGATTTATTAGCAGTAATGAGGTATCTTCATAGCAGTAATGAGGTATCTTCATAGCAGTAATGAGGTATCTTCATTGCTTAGGATGTTTTACACTATCTATCTTAGGATATTATACGCTATCTATCATTGATTCAAGTTCTCTATGAACAAACATGAAAAAAGTACCTAAAAATATTATTTTAAAAAATATCATTATAATCAAATGGTGTCAACATATCCTGTACAAATATGGATTGTTTTCAAAGAAACATTTTATTCAATGAATCTTACTTTCAAAAATATTCATTAACTAATTGAAATTATATTTAATTTGGTGACTGTTCTTTTATGCATTTTTGTTTAGTCTTCATATATTTTATGCATTTTTGTTTAGTCTTCATATTCAATAACCTTTCATATCACTTTATTGTCTTTATTTAGCATTTTGTTTTTCTTCTTCTAAAATTGTACTCTTTCTAATGTTGTTTCCAATAAAATTGGTCAATCATTTTTTCCTTTGTACCTCTGCCAATATTGTTATTGGTGATTTTAATGCAAAATCAAGACAAATTTACTTGAAATAAAAAATGCAACATTAGAAATTAAAGAATACAACATAAAGCAAGAACACCATAGAATATAAACTTTTAAAATTATTGAACTTTAAAAAAAAAAACACATTTCCTCATTTTAACCCATGATTGGGGTAAAATGTTGGCATGAAGAAAATGGCAGAAATTGTGTAACAAAATTACTTACTATCTATAAAAAGCTCACACACAGTTTAAATTTTTATTTTTTTCCTTAATCTCGCAACAGGAATAGTGAGCTTTTCTATGGTACTCAAAACAACAAACCCAACTTTAGCACTCAATGAAGAATGCTAAAATTTGTGTTTGTTCTAGTGACTTTCATAGATAGATTTCTTTTCACGTTTGAATTCTCACAATAAAGGCATTCTATTTCTTCATTTAATGATTTTTTTTTAAGGTTTACACTGTTTGGCTTTTTTGAGTGAGAACATTAAAGACTGTTTATTTTCATATATGGATAACGGTAAAACAGACCCCCACTCCTTTTTTTTGTAGTGGAGTATTGTGATTAATTTTTCACTACCTTCCAAACTAGCTGGAGCTTTGAAACTTTTGACATAATTTCAATGAATGTATACTTTAGAGGAGCCAGGGTAAGTGCTACACTTTTATGTAGCAGAATCTTGCAATAGATTTTTCACTACCTGTAAAGTTAGAGTTACTCATAATGAAGAAATAAAATACTAATTAAATAAAGTCAATTAGACTGTTTTGTCTCTTTGCTTTGACATGGAATTTATTGGTGTCGTCTTTAGGATTGGCATCTAATCATTTAGAGAAACGGTAATACAACTTTACCCAGTATCTACACAAGGTGCATATTTGCATTGACTTGTCAAAAGCTTGCTTAGAGCCAGCATATCATTATCCACAAGACCATAAGCAGCAGCTAAGGCTTAAGTAGAGATGGCAGCAGTAGAAGACAGTACTCAAACTTGAAGTTGCTGTAACTGTTAAAGCCCCGGTTGCTGCGACTGGGGCTTTAACAGTTAAAACATAAAATTACAGTTAAACTAGGAGTATTATACATGGATATATACATGACAGAATTACAAAGTTGGTAAACCATGATTTAAAATAATTACAAAGCCCCATTGAGACTATCCCATTTTACCTCATTGTAGTGTGGCACATTAAAATGCCTTATAATCAAAAATAATTTGATTTTTTTTTTTGTTAAATTAAAGGCCCTATTTATATTTGTTATATTTATTTATATTTGTCAACAAAAGCTAATATATTATTCATTATTATTTTAGAGAAGCAACATATTTGAAAACAGCTTTAAAAAAATAATTCATTTTCGTATAAAAAAAAAAGCAAGCAAAAATAGTAACTAGCATGTATGTAAATTAATATGCAATATATATTCAATAATAAAACAAAAATAAAGATTTTGTAAAATAAATAGTTTTTTTTTAACATTGACATTTTTTAACAACTCAGAGTTGTTAGTCATTGGCCTTGCCTTAAAGCTAAAAAATGAGGCTTCGGTCTTGGCCTCAAAACTGTTGGCCTCGGCCTTGAAAATTGTGGCCTTAGCCTTGATTGTTTTGGCCTTGGCCTCAAAATAAAATACATTTTCTTATTGACTTTGTTGAATTCTGCGCATAATCTTGGTCTATTTTACAAAATGTGGTTTTTATTGTCACAGCACTTGCTACTTACAGTTTTTTTAATAATTGGCCTTAATGTATGGCAAAAATTGAAGTCTTTGGTCTTGAAAATGTTTGCATAGGCTTGAAAGTCTTAATCTTGGCCGTCGCTTTAAAACTCTTGGCCTTGTATTTGTCCATAAAAAAAAAAAAAAAGATCAAATTTATTGGAATCACAAAATCTTTTGATGAAATAGTAGCTATAAATATCTGTCTTTTTAGTTTAACATCAAGTCTAATTAAATTTTAAAAGTAACAATCAAAAACAAAATAACAAATAAAAGCAAAACTTTAAATAAAAAGCTAATTTAAAACTGAATTCAACTTTTTAAAAAAGTTTATACATATAATAGAAACAGTATATCAAATAATATATAATAGCTATCACTTACAAATAGAATTTTTTAATTTCCGGTTGGAAGTATATCCAGATGCAAATTAATCAAACGTAAAATATCTCTCATCATGATAGAGAATATTAAGTTTCTGTGTAACATAAAACGACGATTTTTAAGCGGACTGAAAAATAAAAAGTATTTTTTAGCACTATAATATTGAGCACTTTATTTGATATAAATTTGCATAAGTTATTTAATCAGTTATATATTTGATTTCAGATTTTTAATCATAAAACTTTTTTTAAATACATTTAAAATACTATTTGGTTGATACGTTTCTTTAAGATTAAAAATAAGATCAAAGTAGCAGATTATCAATCCATTAATGCATTTCGGAAATCTACTAACAGAGATTGACAATCTACTAAAAAAACTAATAAAATAATAGTGTAATAAAAACTAATAAAATAATAATGTAGAGTAATAAACAGATTATTGGAGAATAAAAACAGACAAAATAAAATTCTACTATTCAAGTAGTCTTGAATTTTAAATTTAAAAATGAAACAAAAATTGAAAAACTAAAAAAAAATTAAATTATAAAAATGGTTTCTAATATTTTTTTATTTTGATCATATTCACTCGGTCTATAGATAGAGCATGTTTTGTGCAAATATGAAGTTTAAAGTTTTATGACAATAGTGTTTTAATTTATCAATTAAAATTGTTTTAATTGATAAATTAAAACACTAAATTAAATAAATAGAATTGTTTTAATTTATCAATTAAAACAATTCTATTTATTTAATTTCTTTTATTTTATGTGTTTTCGTTATATTACTTCTGTAATTTAATAGAAGTAGCGTCATTTCACTTTCGTTTTTTCGTTACTAGGCTTTTCTGTATTGGAAAAGCACTTTCTCAAAATGCACGCAGCCTTTTGAGCAAAATCTACCAAGCAAGTTAAAGCTTTTTGGAATTTAACTATTATTTGTTAGTTTAGAAATATTAAATAAATATCAATATTAAGATTATATTATAAAAAATGTAAGTATAGATAAAAGTAATATTAGATAAAAAGAAGAAAGGATCACTCGTTTTACTTTTTCAAATCGTTTATATTTTGTTTGTATTAGCTACTCTTTTATTTTTATTTATAGTTTTTTTTAATTAGTTTTGTTTTTACTGAGCTTATTTTTAACTTTTTAGAAACTAATTTGGGGTAAGTGAGGCCTAACTAAGTTGAGGTCGAACAATTTTTTATAAGTTATTCCAATACGTAATCATAAAATTGTTTGCTTTTGCTACTTTTGAATTTATTAAAAATATAATTAAATATACATTGAATGCAATTATTTCAAACCTTGCTTATTTTATTATATTGATTATTATTTTATTGACATTGACATTTCTGTGATCCTATTACCTATTTTTGTTCCTGTTTAAAAAATTCAGAAAAAAAAATAATTAAAGTTTTGAGTCAATACAGACATTTTGCTGTTTGTTAAATTTTGTTATGAAGATTGCTGTTTCTTCATTTGATTTTTCTTTGTTCTTTATTTAATAAGTATTTGGTTTGAATTAAATGTGATTATAATTTCATATTTTATCACAAGATATGTATTTATACACATGATTACATATGAATCTTTTTTAATTTTTTTGTTTGCACAATTCAAGTTCTACATGCTTATAGTTTGCATATTTGCATATATGTTTATATTAGGCTCAAAGTTAAAAGGTTTTTGATAAATATGCGTATGTGGTGATATATGTTGTATAGTTGTTTTATAAAAGTGTTTTTATAAATGTGTTTTTATAATATGAAATGTATGAAATGTATTTTATCTAATGTGTGTATGATTGTTAATTGAGGTGTTTTTATATGTTATATAACGTTAAAAAATTATTTTGCATTTTATAATTAATATATGTTTATATAATGTTGTTTCCATGATTTTAAAGTGTTGTGACTTGGCAAACGTGTAGAGCAAGATTTGTCAACCTTACCAGTCAAGCGGTGTTACTGTTTTAGGTCTAGGTGTTGTCTAGCCTTCAATATAACTTTTCTGAAAATACATAACATTATCTTTTTATAATTTTTTGCATAATGTTGTTACCTTTGGCTTATCTTTATGTTGATGTCTGTTGTTAAAGATGATTTATTGGTAGTTTCATTATTTGAACTCACTGCTTTTATTCATTTACTAAAAGTCATTCAAGACATTGTTTTGCATAAATACATTTTGTTTATATCTCAATTTAATTTTTTTGATTTGTTTTTATCTCAATTTGATTTTTTAGAACCATGATGTACCAACATTTTCTAAAAGCTATCATGAAATAAAAATATTTAACAACTACTAATATGGTATCACAACAGCTTATCTTTATCAGGTACAATGATTTTCAATTCATATATGATGTTCTTCTTCGTATTTACTTATTTGTTACATTTTTTATTTTCAGATTTATTATATGATGCATTTAATTGGTATAGAAGAACAAATCGTTGTAAACTTTTATGAATTTTTTAAAAATATCTACTAATAATTAGTCCAGTCAATATTTAAAGTTTAATGTTGCATATACCATTTTTAAGTAATTTCTAGCCTTTTCTAAATGCATATTATTATAATCTAATTCACGTGGTTTTACAAGCAAGGTCTGCAAGCAAATTTGAGCTGAAAAGTTTTTCTCAGTTTTTGAAAAAAATTGATGTTATTCTATGTTTAATTTAATTTGCTTAAATAGAGTAGTTCTAATTAATGTTAGTTTGTTCTTGGTTTTTTACTTATTTGCTTTCAGATTCTTAAGAACTAGGCAACTAAGCGAAGCAAGATTTTTTTTTTTTTTAGTGCAATTGGAAAGAGCTGAAGTTCTTTTTGATCACTTCAAATCACTTGTTTGTTTTTTTTTAAATAGAATGTTTAATGATAATAAAAAATTTGAGACAGTAGAACTGTTACTGATTTGAGTAAGTTTAATATTTTGTTTTATTTTATATTGGATTTATTTTATAATGGATATATATTTTATGCATTTAACATGGAAAACTGACAGTAATTTGTTGATCGGTAAGTTTATATACATAAATGTGCCTACATTTTAGTATATTTTATATTTCTCTGTATCTATATAAATATTATTTTAAAGAAAAAATAAAAAAGGATAGAAAAAATAAATAAATTTCTGCTGAAAAAAAATTATCATGCTTTTCCATATTTCATTGTTTAAAGTGTTATGCTTCTTTTTACAGGTATTTGAATATATGCATACATACATATATATATACATACATACATATATTACTTTAGAGTAAAATATACTGACTGATATTGCTTTATTTGTTATTCAAGATTCTACATTTATTATTTTTGTGCATTAAAATTTTGCCTTGAGGTAAAAATAACTTTGTGCATTGTAGCCTAGATTTTTTGTTAAATTAAAAATAATGTAAATAAATTTTGTTTTATATTTTTAATGAACAACTTATATATATAAAATTATAAAAATATATGGATATCAATAAATCTTAAGTTAAAATATAGTCATTAATTAGTTTATGACATATAAATTTAATTTTATTTTTTAAATAATATTTTTCAGCATATCTATTATTTGGAATGTATATGGGTAACCAGAACACGCACACTATTCTTATGGCACTACTCATTTTGCAATCTTGAGAACCTAGAGTAAGCCAACCAGGCAAATAAAAACAAACTGATTGTTTCTAGCTCACCTTAATTGAAAGGGGCATCAACACCTTTTTTAAATACTGATGCAATAGATAAACTCAACAACAAATGTGAGGCAGAGGAATAAAACATGACTTAGTTTGTAAAGTAGGTCTTGCTTTTGAAATCAGGTCTTAGAAAATAAAATTTATTAAATCTTAGCTGCAAAATATCATATTAGCATCGTGACCTGATCATTGTCAAGATGTTGAAGATTATGCAAATAATTACTGTTATTACGAATCGCAACTTATTAATTCTGCAAAATACCACATTAACATATAAAACATGAAGTTTATGCAACTTTCTTATGTTTACAGTTATATTGGTGGTTTTTTTTAATTTCATAAGTATTATCTTTATAGCTCAACAGTTTTAAAGCAGTTTCACTCCTTAATGGAAAGAATACAGATCAAATGTTGCACTATCTGTATTTCCACAGAAAAAAAGTAGCTAATATTATTTTTAGGACAAAAACAAAAACAAGTTTATAAAACTTATAGTATTGTTGTATTGAGACGCACTAACAACGCAATTTTACACAAAATAATAATAAAATAATAATATGGCATTAATACTCAAAAAACATTGAATAAATATTTAAAAACATAAGCATTCAAACAATTTATACTTTTTAAAATGTTAAATAAAAAAAATTTTAATCAAAACATAAAATCATAGTTGAAGTTGTAACCATAACGATTTTTTAAATTTAATAAAATATTAGTTTTTAAAATTAATAATTATATTAAATATATATAACAATATGAAAATACTACAACTAAAATATTTCTAATAAAAGAAAATGATATTTTCTTTTATTGATGAATTTACTACAATTCATCAATAAAAGAAAATATTAACTTAATAGTAAATCAAAAGTTAAACCAAATAATAGTAGATTGATTATTAAACATAATAATAGTGGATTGACTGTTAATTGGAATAATAGTAAGAGGGTAAACTTTTTTTGGATTTGTGTAGTTTAATCACTTTTTCTTAATTAATTTTTTATGCTGATTTCGAATTACTTAATACTTTTTTTCATTATAAATATTTGGCCTTCTAATTCAATTTTAACAAAAGTGGTTATTTTGACAAAGTAATCAATTGTTAAATTAAATGAAATCATTGTTATTATCAAAATAGAATCCATGGTAAATTTTTTTTTTTCGTTTTGTCAATAAAACAGGTAGTCATTATGTGTAGTTAAAAATACAACAAAAAATTAGGCATTATAATGAAATTGATTGTAACCATGGTGCAGTGGTTTGAGTTCTTTCTTAGAATCAAGAGATCTGAGGTTTAATGTTGGCTCTGACAAGATAAGCAACATTGGTAAGGAAGGATGCATAAACTTCTTAGTTAAATTAATCTTCTACGATGCTTTGTGATAAGAAGCTTAGTCCTTCTTATAACACCTTAACAACTTTAAAAAAAAATCTTTGTAGATGATTGTTGATTGTTGTGAGGACTTTCCTAGTTAACGTTACATCTCCTTCTCTTTTCTACAAATACTGTAACAGGCACTGCACTAAGAGCTAGCATCTCTTGTGCCATCTACTAAAATTTATTCTCGTTTTACTTGTCATTTAATTAAGTCTCAATTGTGACTGTTCCTAAGTGCTCCAAAAACTCTTATTTGCCTATTTTTTTTTTTTTTTTCTCAAACATCAGTTTATTGGAATTTGCTTCCTTTATCTTACTTTCCTGATTCATAAAATTTGAAATCTTTTAAGTTGCTTGGCAACCGTTATTTTGCTCTTCTTGCTCTACAAAACTTTATCTTTTGTCTTCCAGTAACTTCCAACTCTTATAGTGGTTGCTTGCAGCCTTGTTGGAAGCGAAGATGTAAAAAAAAAAAAAATTGAAACTTTAAATTGTTAGCTAATTCTTCTTTAGACATAAGACAACATTTTTTTGAATTTCTATCAATAATTTTGAGTTTAAATAAAGTGGATCTTTGCTGCGATGATTTACTATTTTTTGATTATTACTTAAATTCATTTATTAAGAGTTTTTTGACATTTAACATCTTTGTGTTTTCAATATATTTATTGACATCTGATTTGCAAGTAAATGGGCTGCCTTGTAATTTCAAACAAGCTAAAATATGATATTTCTTGGACACCTAATGTAAAGCTTACAGTTCTTTTTTGCTAACCCACTTTGTCTCAGTTGTTTCTGTCACTGGTTCCAACTCTATTTTATATATTTAAGTTTTTTAACAATGAGACACATTTCCTAAAATATTTCAAAATTACCTAATTCTTGATTTCACAATGGTTTGGATATTTAAGTATATTACCATGAGGAATTTTTGTAATCGACGGTATTTCCTAAGCCAATTGCAATAAGTGCTACAACGCTCAAGTTCAATGTTATTTGAAATTGTTTTATAAATTAAAAAAACCTGATTAAAAACGTAATACATCAGTATCTTATTATTGTATCTTTTTTCCAAATCCATAATAGTTTCTTATTTTCTGTTCAAGTAAGATATCTATATTTTCCAAAATATAATTTATTGCTGACATTAATAAAGAAAAGTACAAAAACAACCCTGAGTAAAGGCAAATTAGTATGATAAAATTCATCTATTACTAGGCTAAGTA